AAAAAAAAACATTAAAAGGGATTACGCGTGTACGTTTAGGCAATTATCGTTCTCTCATTATTGGGGTGCGATTGCCACAGACCACCCCACCGATCAAACAGTCAATCATTCCGTACGGTTCCGGTCGGAACGGCACCGGAGGACAGTCGCCTCGCGCGCCGTAACTAATTTGCGATCTACCCATCACATCACCAGCTTCTGAGGGGATCCCGTGGGAGTCGTAACAACAATAAACGGTACATTAATGCAGTTACAACTCGTCAAAAGGACAACGACGAAATCCGCCCTAGCATGCCCAAAAGAATATCCTTCACTATTATTATTTTTAACTAGCAAACCAGTGAACCAAATGTTCACCAAAACATGATTTCTCGAAAACCGGAAGTGCTACGTTACTCAAATCCGGTTTGTAGTCTTATCAGACTATTCTTAACTTATAACTTAAATATTCTCTTTATCTATCTCTTACGGTTTGGCCGCTGAAACAGCACCACAGACAGACGGACGGACTTGTCTAATAGATAAGAGATTATTAGCAATTAACCATAGTAAACGGACAATCTGTTTAAAAAAATAAAAAATAAAAGTTCTGTTACTAGATACTACAGTCTGTTCATCCTAACTTGTCCTATTTGGTAAACAATATTGGCACTCCTTTTTTAAGAAAATACAGAATTAAAAATCAACTGATAACTGGATTCAATAGGTTTCAGTCTATAATAACGATTTATTTTAATAGTTTATTGGCTTCGTTATTATTTTATTTTTAAATGGGTGATTTTGTTAAAAAGTTGTGCCAAGATTATTTACCTTAATAAACGCAATATAGGCGACCATAGGTATTTAACAACATCCCATATAATATCTATTTATTTTTATGAAAATCATAATGATAACCAGGTACATATCTTATTACCGATAATAAAATATAGAAACAGGTAAATGAAATGACTTTGAACATTTCATAAACACTAAATATATTCAGAATATATAAAGTGTACATCTGTTGCGATTAAGTATCTCTTATCTATTAGACAAGTCCGTCCGTCTGTGGTGCTGTTTCAGCGGCCAAACCGTAAGAGATAGATAAAGAGAATATTTAAGTTATAAGTTAAGAATAGTCTGATAAGACTACAAACCGGATTTGAGTAACGTAGCACTTCCGGTTTTCGAGAAATCACGAATTTCAAACGAAACCACACAAAATCTCCGAAGTTCTCAATTAATTAAATACATTTTTTTTAACAGGTTTTGGTGAACATTTGGTTCACTGGTTTGCTAGTAATAATTATAACCTCAAAATCTAATACATTCTGTAGTAGGCCACGGTTCCTCAAGTTGTCCGTATCTCAACAAATGCCTAATTAGAGTTTATGAATGATTCCGAACTCAACTAGCATTTTCACATTGTTGTGCGTTCTAGGGCATTCAATGTCCTTTCAATGGCACGGCTTGTGTCTTTGAATATTCAAGACTTGCAAGAACTCTTTTTTTTTCGTGATTTCAACAATTTTTAAGAGGACGTTAAAGTTTAAGTATTTTCTCAAATTTTCCTGGGCGGCAGCTAATGGATGAAACAATGAAACATATATAGTGTATCATTTTACGATATCAAGGACAATATTTGATATCAATGTAGCGATATTTTTTAGTTTACAGAAACTATTGTGTTGTTATAATTTGTGTTGGATGTTGGATATACAAAGGCACGATAATAAAATAAAGAATTAAAATTCTTTATTTCTTCTTCTTATGTTAAAATAAATATTTCCAACACTCACACCAATTAGCCTAGCCCCAAGCTAAGCACTATAAAGCTTGTGTTATGGGATACTAGGGTAACGGATAGAATACATATACTGTACATATATAAGTATATTTATATAGAAATACATATTAAACATCCATGACTAGAGTACAAATGCTCGTATTCATCACACAAACATCTGCCCCCACCGGGAATCGAACCCGGGATCTCTCGAGTCGGCGACACCATGAAACCCGGCGTACAAACCACTCGGCCACGGATAACTTTAACTAAATTATATTACAAAGTCACTCGTTTGCATAACACCCACAACAAAATGGCAGGCACACTAATCTTCCCATCAATGCAAATATTAAGATAGCGAACTATTCGTGTGCCGCGATAACTCCCCCCCCCCCCCTCCCCCCCAAGGCAAACTTTATGGGCCGAGACAGAGTTAACAAAATAAATGGCTTAAATTTCTACACTCGTAATGAATACATAGGAGGGTGCACTGATAAATCACTGGTACTATGCGTTTTGGGTTGCGCTGACATGGCGTATGGCGCAAGGCACTAGATTATGACGACAAATTTACAAAAACGCTCCTTTTTACAAGCTTTTATTTAACTTGCTATGTATGTTTGTTACGGTCAAATCTTACAACTCAATTTTAAAGCACTTTCCCTCAACCGATTAAGCTGAAATTTGGTATGCTCGTTCAGTTCGGATGACAATGCATGATTAACAGTGTGACGTCATTCTAAATCCAATATGGTGGCATACCCAAAATGGCGGACCAATCATTTTTAATGCATTCCTACAATATGGGTATCAAATTAAAGGGCTTGCTGAGAGTAACTCGAAAAAAATGTGACGTCACTCTCAATCCAATATCCAACTTTAACTAAATTTTCTTTTTTTCTTTTTAGCGCATTTGAATAAAAGCTTGTTTTTAAAAAGGTTTTTGTATCTTAATTTTATTCTAAGATCAAGTCTATGATATACGTATTTTGTTTTTATTTTTTTCTGATCATTAAATTCTACATGTTTAAATCTGAAGATTTTTTTTACTAGAAAAATTGCACTCGGCCCATGTAATTTTCGGGTTTTTTCTGGGTTTTTTTTAATTAAAACAATTTATATTGTTTTAAACTTTCATGGTCATCAACATTATAGTAATATAAGTTATTTACGGGATTGTTACCATTTATCTTGTTTTTATACGTACGGAGTTACTCCGTGATCATGGCGCTTGCAACAGTGCCGAAATATTGGAAACTCGCTAAAAACAAGGTACATGGTAACAATCCAGTAAATGACTTATATTAAAACAATTTTATTGTTTTATTTAAAATAGGATGCGTTAATGCGATATCTGTTTGTAGTACATTATGTACTTGGGCGCTTACGAAGTTAGTTACATACTGCTGCGATAATAACGCAATAGCAGTTCTTACAACTTATATCGGAATATCGCAGAACGGAGATTCCGTCCTGCGATATTATTTATTTATTTATTTTCTCTTTATTGTTTTGAAACAAATGGCGGACTTAATGCCACATGGCATTCTCTACCAGTCAATCATCGGGCTAAGCAGAGACATTATGCGGTCAAGTAAATTAAAGCATTACAGTAAAAGAGAAAGAAAATCAAAATTGAATTGATAAAACTACATGTTACTTAATATAATAATTATAATGTAACATCTATAAATATACCTAAATAACTATATATATAACATATTTATAATACGATAAATACCTACACGTATACAATAATAAATATCAATATACTTACTATATTAAGTTCTAAGAACGGCTGTATTGGAACGTCTGCGATCCCACACACACCTGCGATATTCTTAGTACGTCAAAGACGAAATCAATGAGGGTGTTTATGAAAATTTACGTTGCCAGTTGGTGGTCGTTTGTATGAAGTTGTTGGTGCGAACTAATTGAACGAGAATTTAAATTGATCCATAGACTATGAAGACATACGCGATTTGACGGATGAGTAAACCTTTCATCTCAGTGTTGCTATCCGCTGAACGTCATTCCAGAAAACCCTTATTACGAGTATTCTATAAATCTATAATATGTATATTTATTTATCATCAGACAAAGATTTATTATCACTAAGAGTAGTTATGGCACAATGACCGACGAAGACACCAAAAACATAAGTACCTGCTGAAGCTTGCTTGCTGGCGCTGGTGTACGTCATCGTACGAAAAATTTCATCAAACTTATGCGCACGACATTAACCGATGAATAGGGATTGTATTGATTATTTAAGAAAAAAAGCAAAAAGAACGATCAACCTACCAAATGAATTAGTTTCATTTGTAAATTTTTTGTAACTTTACGCTAAGTTTTGGAATAACAACAATTAAACAGTAGGCCCTATTGTTTGTTTTGGACAAACAAAATGTATTATCATAATTTTCTGTTCTATTGCTCGATTTATTCAATAAGGATACCCATTCATACTTCTTTAAATGTACAAAATGTAAGATATATGTTTCTAACGATTAAACTCAAAAGCTGGTATGCCAATATCAAATTTCTTTCACTGTTTCAATGTTACATTATCCCTGAGTAACTAAGGTTATATTACATCGCGTTAAAATAAAGTTCAACCGTGCATAGTCGGGGTGCATTCTTGCCGGTTCTTCTCAGTACAAGGTCTCCCGCCGTAGATTTGCGAACCGATGGCGTAACTTTTCGACATTCACAAGTGTTTGTAACAGCCTGCATAAACGATATAAAATTTTGTTTTTTTTTTGGGTATAATATAAGCTTCAAACTGTTAATCAAAGAAGCGGATGATTAAAATCAGCGCGTTGTCTCCAAACGCTGTAATGTCCCAACTTGTACCACACACTAGCGCGGCACGCGGCGTGTGCCGGATGCAAGCGTCGAGCGCGTGCGATGAGCGACCCGGACTCAATGGAACGTGCGGAGGCGCACTTAAAACATTTTTATTGTGCGCGGCCCGGGGCGGCTATTGTAACTCTATGACCATTCGTTGCAGGTTAAGATGCTCATTTAATTGGAGAGAACAAACCATTTAGGTTACCCAATGAATTATATAAAAAATTCCATGAAGACTAACATTTGTGGTACTTCAATATTCTGCGTTCAACCACCACAAACCAAACTTTAGAAAAGTTTTAATATATTAGAAATGTAAGCGTAGAGAATTCCTACGTCCATGAAGGAAACTTTATTTCTGGAGTATTTTTGGACTGGAAATGTCATTTGTTGACATATAAAACATATTTTTTTACACTTTCCAATAATGTAGTATTGTTTTTGTAGTATTTTGAAGAAATACAATTGTATATAGAAAATTTTTCGCATCAAATAATGTCTAACAAAGATTATTATGAGCGTTGGCTTAAACTTAAAGAAGAATTAAAACAGGTCATTTTCGAAGATGGCCGTGTAAATGATCTAGCATTGCATGAACTCGGAATCAAACCACAAGCCACTGCCGTTGAAATAGTGGCCAGAGTGTATTCTAAATATTGTCAAATATACAACAATCTTTGTGACTGTTACGATCAAATGGAACAAGTACAAAGGCGCCCATATATAAAGTCAATTATAGATGCTGTTACATGCCGTATTCTAGAGCTGAAGACAACCCTAGAAGAAATTGAGGTCTTTGAATTCACCTATCCAGAGAATGCTCTCCAACAATTATTAATGATACCCCAAGATGCACAAATACTGTGTCCATTTTTTTACCCTTTCGAAATAAGACAAGAAGAAATGCAATACATTATCGATCAGATCATGGCTGGAAATCGTATTGGTGATCCAGAACCTACACCTTCAGAACTCGAACGTCAAGAAGAAGAAAGACATGAAGAAGAAAAAAGAAAACAAGAGGAAAAGGAAGCGGAGATAAAAAGGAAATTAGCATTGGGTGAGGATATAGAACAATCCCTGCAAGTTGACATTTTATCACCTGCTGAATTAGAAGCTTTAAGACTGAAGATGGAATACGAAGAACATGTTAATAATATACAACGCATGGAGAGATCCCGGAAAACATGGAGAGAAAAAATACATAAAATGAACAACGATGCAAACTTATACATTGAATTAGCGGGCTTGAAAAAGCCACCAGCACGAGAGAAAATCAAAATCAAGGCCGCTGAGTTAATTCAGTTAGTGTATAGAAAGTTTATGGTATACAAGAGAGAACACGTCCGAGAAAATAACTTGAGAGTGAAACTAGGAATGGTTATGCCCTCCTTAAAACAAACACCAGTAAAAATCAAACTAGAAGAAGTCAAAGAGCAACGTCGAGAATTCCGGCGCAAGTACCACCAAAAATGGTTAGAAGAAAATATGAAAGAAAATACTCGTGTTTTGAGATTGCGAGAAGGTGACATTATGGAAGATATAACAGCTGAAATAAAACAGTGGTTTGAAGAGTGGTACAATGCAGTAAGAGTTTTTGACGAATTCCCTTGGCCAGAAGAAGGAGGTTCTGTTTTAATAGTGAGTGGGCACACATTTACTATAGAAGAATACATTGATTGGCGTACTGCTGAAGAAAAAAGGCTGAAAGCTGAGGCTAATGCACCAAAAAGCAAAGATCAGATAAAAGCAGAAAAAGCAGCTGCAAAAGAAGAGAAAAAACGTTTAGCATTTGAAGCTAAAGAAAAACATAAGAAACAATTAGAAGATTATAGAAAGTCACGTCTTAATCCTGATAATGATCCTGGTATTTACATAACTATCGGGAAAATGCTTGAACCAGTGCAGGATGCATGGGACGTATATCAAAGTCAGTGGAAGCAATATGATTACGATAATGCACCGTTGAATGCATTAAAGGGTTTTATAAAGGAAATAATAACAGAAAATGCTTACCAAGATGTTCAATTTGAACTGAGAAAAATTGTGGACGAGACTATGAGGTTAGAATTGAATTTGTTAAGAAACGCATTAAAATTGGATCTCGCTCAGGCTGGTGTTGCTAAACCTCCATTAATAAAAAAAAGAAAGAAACCAAAAAAGGTCAAACCTCCTAAGCCAGACAAAGTAAGTCCAGCTCAAATGTTTCAAACTTTAGTTGATGAAGGCATAGTTCGAAAATATCCTCACACGACTCTCGATGAATATTGGGGTGACCTAAATTATGCGGCTGCTGATATGCGAGCTGTAATGTGGACACCATCTTTTCCGCCTCCATGTATTGGTGATGTCAGGGAGCAGGTGAGGACTCGCTGCTTACTTACACTCGGTTGCGACTGTCCCGATGCTACTAGGACTCAATTAATTGTTGGACCTAAGTCATCTGGTAAGAGGACATTAATTTATGCTATAGCGACCGAAACGAATTCGATTCTTATAGACCTGTCGCCATTCCACGTCTACAACAAATTTCCTGGTCCAAAAAACATGAAATTAATGTTCAACTACGTCACTAAAATAAGTAAACTCATGCAACCAACAGTGATAATGATCGACAATGCCGATAAACTGTTTTACAAGAAAGTACCGAAAGAAGAGAAAATGTTTGATCCGACAAGATTATCGAAAGACATATACAAGGAAATCATCAAACCGATTGAATTCCACGATAAGATATTAGTCTTAGGAACAGCCTCGGAGCCCTGGTTAGCTAAAAGCGCTACCATGTACAAGGTGTTTCCGTCCCTTATACTCATACCTAGGACAGATTACGGGAGCTTGACATATGTTCTGTCAAAGATATTGATGAAATATCATGGAGTGCAACGTGACTTTAATGTACACAGTGCTGCTCAAGTTTTGAGAGGGTATAACATCAGCGCAGTGAGGAAAGCAACGGAAAAGTTGTTGGATGGCAAAAGAGTGGCTGCTCTGTACCATAAGCCGTTGAATCCGGTGGAGATAATTGAAGCTGTCGTGGAATGCAACTCAACTGTCTACACTGGGACGGAGGATTACGAGCTGTTCAACGAATGGTACTACTCATATTCTCCGTGGGGTAAGAAGTATTTAGACTACATGATTATGCTTGAATCACAATTGGCTTACAAACTGAAAGCAGACAAAAAGAAAAAGAATCCTTGATAATAACAATTGTTTACGGATACTTGGCGATGATTTTTTTCTTATAATGTATCATGTCATTATGTTCAAAGATGTAGAGCAAGTTACGAGATATCATTAAAATTTATGGTATATTTTCTTTGAGCTTGTTATTGCGTAAGCTTGTTAGTTATTATTGCACCTTTAATTTAGTTATATAGTTATTGATCCATATATATAATGGCCTACCCAGACGAGGGACTATTGTCCGCGGAGGCCAAAAAAATGTCCGCACTGACTGATCTTAGAGAAGTGCACGTTTTTTTTATGTTATAGGGGTCATACGAGCAGACGGCTCACCTGATGGTAAGTGATCACCGTCGCCCATGGACACTTGCAACACCAGGAGTATCACAAATGCGATGCCGGCCTTTAAGGAAGGAGTACGCTCTTTTTTTAAGGTTTTTGGGTCGTATTGGTCCGGAAAAACTGCTGGCGACAATATATTCCACAGTTTGGTCGTACGCGGTAAAAAATTTCGACAAAAACGCACGGTTGACGCATCAAGATGATGGGGATGAAATTTTGCAATTTGGCATGTGAAAGAAGTAAATATTTTCAGATTACGTTGTGTTGTAATTAACATGAAGTTTAAGAAAAAGAGATGTTTCCAGATGATACTGGGCCCATGTCTTTAAATCGGATCGAGCAGGCAACGCGAAGTAAAGTTCGCTGAGTGCGTAGCTACAACACAAGTTCCATTTTATTTTGGGGGACACCCGCGTACTTTTATTGTGGCCGGGCTCTCGGCGTCTTCGATTTATTGGGGGGACTTTTTATTATAATAATTAAAAACTTGAGGAGCTCGATGGCGCAGGTGGCTAGCGCGTTCGGCTGCGATCGTTGAAGTTAAGCAACTTTCGCAGTGGTCGGTCATTGGATGGGTGACCAAAAATTACTAACTCGAGCTCCTCCGTGCTTCGGAAGGCACGTTAAGCCGTTGGTCCCGGCTGCATTTACAGTCGTTAGCACCCACCAATCTGCACTGGGCCCGCGTGAGTCATGGCCCAACCACCCTATTCCATCCATAGGGAAGGCCTGTGCCCCATCAGTGGGAACATTAATAGGCTGATGATGATGACGTTACTCGATGCAATTGTAAGCGATTTATGTTGGCGGACTAAAAAGTCCGCGGATTAAATTCCCTCGTCTGTCTGTCGTTGCAGGCCACAATAGTCAAATTTGAAATTAATTAAAAAATTAAGGTAAAAAAATCTTTTTAAAAACAATCTTTTATTCAAATGCGCTAAAAAGAAAAAAAGAAAATTTAGTTAAAGTTTGTTTCTAAATAGATTTTCAAATTTTAGAAGTCCGCCATATTGGATTAAGAGTGACGTCACATTTTTTTCGAGTTACTCTCAGCAAGCCCTTTAATTTGATACCCATATTGTAGGAATGCATTAAAAATGATTGGTCCGCCATTTTGGGTAGGCCGCCATATTGGATTTAGAATGACGTCACACTGTTAAGCATGCATTGTCATCCGAACTGAACGAGCATACCAAATTTCAGCTTAATCGGTTGAGGGCAAGTGCTTTAAAATTGAGTTGTAAGATTTGACCGTAACAAACATACATAGCAAGTTAAATAAAAGCTTGTAAAAACTGTTTCTTAGTTTTTCACGCACACCATACATCAAATAAAACACACTTAACCGGGTTGAATGCGTTAACTCATCACTTTTTTGACGTTTCGCATTATTTTCAAGCTGCATCATCAGAATTGTGATTTTTATTTATTTTGTCGAGCTACCTTCGGAAGCCTTTTATTGAGCTTTCGGATACTTCATTGAAAGACTATTATAAAAAAACTAGCAAACCAGTGAACCAAATGTTCACCAAAACCTGATTTAAAAAAAAATGTATTTAATTAATTGAGAACTTCGGAGATTTTGTGTGGTTTCGTTTGAAATTCGTGATTTCTCGAAAACCGGAAGTGCTACGTTACTCAAATCCGGTTTGTAGTCTTATCAGACTATTCTTAACTTATAACTTAAATATTCTCTTTATCTATCTCTTACGGTTTGGCCGCTGAAACAGCACCACAGACAGACAGACGGACGGACTTGTCTAATAGATAAGAGACTAGCAAACCAGTGAACCAAATGTTCACCAAAACCTGATTAAAAAAAAATGTATTTAATTAATTGAGAACTTCGGAGATTTTGTGTGGTTTCGTTTGAAATTCGTGATTTCTCGAAAACCGGAAGTGCTACGTTACTCAAATCCGGTTTGTAGTCTTATCAGACAATTCTTAACTTATAACTTAAATATTCTCTTTATCTATCTCTTACGGTTTGGCCGCTGAAACAGCACCACAGACAGACGGACGGACGGACGGACGTATCAATTTATTAGCGAATTTCATTTATAAAGTTACTTAATTTAATCCTTTTTTAAATTTTGATTTTATATGACCCAAACTGGTTTTTTTTTATAGATAGATCCGACAAATGACTCCACCCCACCTGATGTTAAGTGAAGGTAAAGTCCAGACGCGAAGATAGCTGATGCAGCAGCTCTACCTGCCACCATTCTCACCTACCTGCCGGCCTGCATGTTGCTTCTTCTACCGTTAACTACCACAAATTCCAAACTAATTCTGACGACACAGCCTGAAAGGAATGCGAAACGTAAAAAAAGGAATAAATTAAATAATAAATATAAATCTTTATTGTGTATGGAACAAGGTAACATGAAAATACAGGTCTTAATGCTAATGTACAGTGCCTTTTCAAGTACATACACATTTATATTGTACGTATAGGTATAATCAGGGAAGGTAAGCTCATAGATAGATACCTTAAAGTCTAACATATATACAGATACAAGTAACATTAACAATTTCACATCATAAAACTATAAAATACACTAACTATAAACAAATAAGTCTCTATCTAATTACATAATTACTATATATAAGTAAAATAAATACTTGAATAATAAAACTAAAATTAAAAACCTTAAAACATAAAATTAATAACTAAAATATATTATTAAAAGGAGTCCCTTTAGGCAAGGAACCAAAGATACTGGCAGCGTTACCTCTTTGAATGGCTTGTATGTTTATAGGTTGTACGTATATATATACACATATATAATTAACGTACTGAACCCGTTATAACGTGTTTTATTTAATTAAAAATACCGATCTTAAGTTCAAAAATAAATCATGAGTATCCACCATACCGCGTTCGGCTGCGATTGATGGTGCAGGTGGTTAGCGCGTTCGGCTGCGATAGTGGAAGTTAAGCAACTTTCGCAGTGGTCGGTCATTGGATGGGTGACCAAAAATTTACTATCTCGAGCTCCCACCGATCCGCACTGAGCCCGCGTGGTGGGTCATGGCCCAATCTTCCTATTCCATCTATAGGGAAGGCCTGTGCCCCAGCAGTGGGGGACATTAATAGGCTAATGATGATGATGATGATCCACCATACGTGGTTGATAGAGAACCATAGGCTTTGTTTGAGGATAAAAAAATTGAAACAACCTCGACGACGGCATATTTAGCAATGCTGACTCTTTAATAATAAACACTGCACTGAATAGTTAACAGCCTGTCAATACATGTTTTCCTGAAAACATAATCTCTTATCTATTAGACAAGTCCGTCCGTCCGTCTGTCTGTGGTGCTGTTTCAGCGGCCAAACCGTAAGAGATAGATAAAGAGAATATTTAAGTTATAAGTTAAGAATAGTCTGATAAGACTACAAACCGGATTTGAGTAACGTAGCACACCCGGTTTTCGAGAAATCACGAATTTCAAACGAAACCACACGAAATTTCCGAAGTTCTCAATTAATTAAATACATATATATTTTTTTAAATCAGGTTTTGGCGAACATTTGGTTCACTGGTTTGCTAGTTATCTTCATAATCAACATGACAGGAGTTTAAAAAATCACTGGAAAAAATACTATCCAGCTTAGCACTCAAACTGAGTTTCTATTTTATAAAATGATACTAAATTTTATTTGAAATTAAATCATCATCATCATCAGCCTATTAATGTCCCCACTGCTGGGGCACAGGCCTTCCCCATGGATGGAATAGGGAGATTGGGCCATGACCCACCACGCGGGCCCAGTGCGGATTGGTGGGTGCTAACTACTGTAGATGCAGCCGGGACCAACGGCTTAACGTGCCTTCCGAAGCACGGAGGAGCTCGAGATAGTAATTTTTGGTCACCCATCCAATGACCGACCACTGCGAAAGTTGCTTAAGTTCAACGATCGCAGCCGAACGCGCTAACCACTTGCGCCATCAAGCTCCTCTATGAAATTAAATTAAATTAAATATGAAGGCCATTTTAATCATACTATTATTATAAAGGCGAAAGTTTGTTAGTGTGTATGTTTGTTACTTCTTCACGTCTAAACGGCTGGAGCGATTTTAATAAAATTTGGTATGGAGTTAGCTGACACCCTGCATTAACATATAAGCTACGTGTTACAACGGAAAAATATCCCTAATAAACTGCGGGTAACACCGCGGCGCACAATAAGTTTAAAAAAATGGTTGCCTGTAAAGTCGGTTTTACGGGCGAAGATTTTACGTGACAACGTCTTTTTCTCGGTAGAATATTTATTGATATGAATATAATTAAATTGCACAATAGGAACAAGGAATTGAATGAAAATAAGAATTGCACAAATTTTAACTATAGAAATATATTTTGTTTACTAAAACATTGTACATGTAAACTTAAACTTAACACGAGAGACTCATCGTAACGTTACCGAGCGTTACACTTTTTCATAAGTGACTCCCAGCCGCAACCTAATTTAAGACGTTGTCACGTCAATAAACAGATCATCCTTTAAGCGCTCCATAACCGCTGCCATAAACTTAGGGATTGACTAAGCGATTTACCATCGTCTTAAAGTTTGGCTCAAACTGATTTGACATTTTAAGTTACCTACCTAAACTTGTTAAGAATAAGTTTAGTAAGCCCCAAAGTTCGGTGAAAATCTCCTTATAAATCTTTAGTCATTTATTAATGTAGATCGTAAATATCTATCTCATTCTCGAAATCGAAAATGTTCTTCAATTCACCACAAGAAACCTTTTTTTTATGTTACCCACGCTAAACAATAAT